GCGGGGGGTGTGCCGAAATGGGTGGGGGTGACGCATGCGGGCGGCGGCACTGAGGCCTTCGGTGGAGCTCCCTATGGAGCCACGAAACGTGTGAGGGGTGTGCCGAAATGGGTGTGGGGGACGCATGCGGCCGCGGGCACTGGGGCCTTCGGTGGAGCTCCCTATGGAGCCACGAAACGTGTGAGGGGTGTGCCGAAATGGGTGTGGGGGACGCATGCGGCCGCGGGCACTGGGGCCTTCGGTGGAGCTCCCTATGGAGCCACGAAACGTGTGAGGGGTGTGCCGAAATGGGTGTGGGGGACGCATGCGGCCGCGGGCACTGGGGCCTTCGGTGGAGCTCCCTATGGAGCCACGAAACGTGTGAGGGGTGTGCCGAAATGGGTGTGGGGGACGCATGCGGCCGCGGGCACTGGGGCCTTCGGTGGAGCTCCCTATGGAGCCACGAAACGTGTGAGGGGTGTGCCGAAATGACACCCCCAGTGGGACCTTCGGTGGAGCTCCCCATGGGGCCACGAAACGTTGTCCTGGGTGGGGGAGACGCATGCGAACACCCCTACTGGGACCTTAGGTGGAGCTCCCTATGGGGCCACGAAACGCTGTCCTGGGTGGGGGAGACGCATGCGAACACCCCCACTTGGGCCTTCGGTGGAGCTCCCTATGGGGCCACGAAACGCTGTCCTGGGTGGGGGAGACGCATGCGAACACCCTTATTGGGACCTTCGGTGGAGCTCCCGATGGGGCCACGAAACGCTGTCCTGGGTGGGGGAGACGCATGCGAACACCCCTACTGGGACCTTCGGTGGAGCTCCCTATGGGGCCACGAAACGCTGTCCTGCGTGGGGGAGACGCATGCGAACACCCCTATTGGGACCTTCGGTGGAGCTCCCTACGGGGCCACGAAACAGTGTCCTGGGTGGGGGAGACGCATGCGAACACCCCCACTTGGGCCTTCGGTGGAGCTCCCTATGGGGCCACGAAACGCTGTCCTGGGTGGGGGAGACGCATGCGAACACCCCCAGTGGGACCTTCGGTGGAGCTCCCTATGGGGCCACGAAACGCTGTCCTGGGTGGGGGAGACGCATGCGAACACCCCTACTGGGACCTTCGGTGGAGCTCCCTATGTATGGGGCCACGAAGCGCTGTCCTGCGTGGGGGAGACGCATGCGAACACCCTTGTTGGGACCTTCAGTGGAGCTCCCTATGGGGCCACGAAACGCTGTCCTGGGTGGGGGAGACGCATGCGAACGCCCCCAGTGGGACCTTCGGTGGAGCTCCCTATGGGGCCACGAAACGTGTGAGGGGTGTGACGACATGGGCGGTGGGGACGATGATGAAGACGATGATGAGGATGAGGATGTGGATGAGGATGATGCTGCAGATGATCATTCTGACGGAAGAGAGAAGAGGAGGGGGAGGAGGGAGGAGGGGGAGGAGGAAGGAGGAGAGGAACGCGGGGCACCGTCTCCTCAAAACGAGGACCCAACACCACAGGATGGTTGGGAAATGCCAACATACTTTAAACACCTATGGACAATCAATGATTTGTGTCTCTTCGGGCCCTCCTGGAGGACCTCTTGGAGGCCTCGTGGGCCGTCTTGGAGGCCTCTTGGGGGCCTTTTGGGCCGTCTCGGAGGCATCTTGGGGGCTTCTGGGGCCGTCTCAGGCCATCTGGAGGCCATCTCAGGCAGTCTTGGGTGCATCTTGGGCCGTGTTAGGCATCCTGGGGCCATCTTAGCCGTCTTGGAGGCCATCTTGGGCGTCTTGGAGGCCTCTTGGGCCGTCTTGGGGTCCTCTTGGAGCCGTCTTGGGGGCCTCTTGGGCCGTCATGGGGCCATCTTGGAGGCCTCGTGAATGAACTAGGGGCGATTCTGGGGGCGTCTTGGGCCGTCTTGAGCCTTCGGAAGCCCAAGAAGAAGCAACTGCCAACATCCTTCAAAAACCGATGGACAATCAACGATTTTGGCCTCTTCGGGCCCTCCCGGAAAGCCTCTTGGAGGCCTGTTGGGCCGTCTCGGAGGCTCCTTGGGCTTAAACCATCAGGGCGGTTTTGAAAACCATCTTGAGCCGTCTTGGGAGAGTTCTTGGGCGAATTCCAGGCCTTTCGGGTGGCCGGCGGGACGGGCCGAAGCCCCAGGGGGTGTTCTTTTGTAAGAGGTCAAAATCCCAAACCGAAATAATTTAGCACGCCAGGCACTCCTGTGGCAAGCTAACAGGGGGCGGCGGATCGAAGACGCCTACGGCGAATCACCGCCGCTCCCTGCCTTCTTGGAAGCGCCTATGTGGCCCAACGTTGAGGCCAGACCTGCCAAGCTATCGGACCAGGTGTTCCCCGAATCGGTTTGGAAAGCCTTCGGGGAACACGTGGGCATCTTGAAGGTCATCTTGGCCGCCTGGAGGCCCTTTCGGGCATTCTTGGAGGACGTCTTGGAGGGCTCTTGGGCCGTCTTGGAGGCCATCTTGAGCGTCTTGGAGATCTCTTGGGCCGTCTTGGGGCTCTTGGGGCCGTGATTTGGGCCTCTTGGGCGATCTTTGGGGGCACTTGGGCCGTTTCGGGCCGTCGCAAGGCCGAAAACAAGCAAATGCCACAGTCCTTCAAAAACCCATAGGGAATCAATGATGTTGGCCTTTTCGGGCCTTCCTGGAGGCCCTCTCGGAGGCCTCTTGGGCCGTCTTGGGCCATCTTAGGGCCATGTTCGGCCGTCTTGGTGGGCTCCTGGTCCGTCTGACGCCGTCGGAATCCGTTTGGGGGGCCTCTATGGGCCGACTTGGGGCCCTCTTGGAATGCTCCAGGGTTGTCTTGGAGGCCATCTTGGGCGTCTTAAAGGCCTCCTGTGCCGTATTGAGGGCCTCTTGGGGCCGTCTTGGGGCCCTCTTGGGCCGTTCTGGGGCCATCTTGGAGGCCTCTTGGGCGATCTTTCGGTGATCTTGGGGGGCTCTTGGGCCGTCTCGGGCCGTCGGAAGGCCGAAAAGAAGCAAATGTCAAAATCCGTTAGGAATATCAATGTTTTTGGCCGCTTCTGGCCTTCCTGGAGGCCCTCTTGGGGTCCTCTTGGGCCGTCTTGGGCCAGCTTCGAGCCAACTTCGGCCATCTTGGTGGGTTCCTGGCACGTCTGACGCCGTCGTGAGCCGTCTTGGGGGCCTGTCTGGGCCGACTTGGGGCCCTCTTGGGGCGCTTCGGGGCCGTCTTGGAGGCCATCTTGGGCGTTTTGGAGGCCATCTTGGGCGTGTTGGAGGCCTCTTGGGCCGTCTTGGGGCCCTCTTGGGGCCGTCTTGGAGGCCACTTGGGCCGTCATGGGACCTCTTGGGGGCCTCTTGGGCGATCTTGGGGGCCTGTTGGGCCGTCTTGGGCCTTCGGAAAGCAGAAGAGGCGCAAATGCAATGATCTTCCAAAAACTGAAGGACAATTATTAATTTTGGCCTCGTCGGGCCCTCCTGGAGGACCTCTTGGAGACCTCTTGGGCCGTCTTGGAGGCCTCTTGCGGGCTTTTGAGACCGTCTGAGACCGTCTTGAGGCCATCTTGGGCCGTCTTGGGTGCTTCTTGAAGCCATCTTGGCCGTCTTGGAGCAACTTGGAGGCCATCCTGGGACATCTTGGCCGTCTTGGAGGCCATCTTGGGGCCGTCTGGGGCAGGAAAACCGTTTGCAACCACCTCTTCCCTGTGGCCGGCGGGACGCGCCGGAGCCCCAGGGGGGGTTCTTTTGGAAAAAGAACCCAAACCCAAAGCCATATAATCTGGCACGCTGGGCACTCCTTTGGGCCCATCCCGCCACCGCGTCTGGGTTGTGGGTTTGAGGCCTTGTACATGTGTTGGGGTGTCGTGGGGAGCTTCTCAGAGGCCTTTTGGAAGCGATTTCGGCGCCTTTGGGGGGCCTCTTGTGACCTCGTGGGGTATCTTTTGGGCCTCTTGAAGGCCTCTTTGGCGCGTCTTGGGCGCCTCTTGGGGCCTCTTGGGGCCTCCTGGGGGCTTCTCGAGGCATCTTGGAGCGTCGGAAAGAAAAACTGCGAGAACCCCAAACTCCTTCAAGCACCTTTGTGACATCGACGATGCTGGCCTCTCGGGGCTCTCTCGGGAGGCCTCTTGGAGCGCTCTTGGGGCCTCTTCGGGCCCTCGTGGGCCGTCTCGGAACCATCTTCGGGCGCCTTGGTGTACAACAGAGCGTAGTGAATCGTCGGAGCAGGGACTGAAACTGGTGTGTGCTTGCTTTGCGAGGGGGAAAAAAAACTCTTGGCCTTGGCAATACGAGTGCTATGGTCTCGGGGGCGCGAATACGGTGTGATTTGCAGGGGACCGCGGCCTCGGGGGCGCGAGTGTGGTGCGGTTTGGGAGGGGGTCGTGGCCTCGGGGGCGCGAGTGCCGCGTAATTTGGGAGGGATCGTGGCCTCGGGGGCGCGCGTGTGGTGCAACTTGCACAGGATCGTGGCCTCGGGGGCGCGAGTGTGGTGTAACTTGCACAGGATCGTGGCCTCGGGGGCGCGGACGTGGAGTAGTTTACAGGGGGTCGTGGCCTCGGGGTCGCGGACGTGGAGTGATTCACAGGGGATCGTGGCCTCGGGGGCGCAAGTGTGGCGTAGTTTATGAGGGATCGTGGCCACAGAGGCGCGAATGTAGTGTAATTTGCAAGAGGTCGTGGCCTCGGGGCGCGAGCATGGTGTATTTTATATGGGATCGTGGCTTCGGGGGCGCGAATTTGGTGCAATTTACGAGGGATCGTGGCCTCGGGTGCGCGAACACAGTGCAATTTCGAGGGATTCTTGCGTCGGGAGCGCGAATCTAATATATATATATATATATATATACGTGTCCTACGGCACGCGATTCGGGGGTGGTAACCAGGTCCTTTTCAGCTCCCTCCCCTCGCGCGGATTTTAACAATTTACACAGGAAGCAGAAAGCAGGACTGAAACATTGGAGATGGGAAATTGGAAATTGTGCAGGGTACTGCAACCCTCAGCCTCGCAGCCTGATGGCCCCACAAGGGGGGCCGGCGGATTGTCCCAGCCAGCTCGTGAACCGCTTTTTCAGGACTTACGACCAGTGGAATTGGTCCAAGCCGGTGATGCTGTGCGAGATCGTGGAGGCGTCGTCTGCGCCCGGGATGGCCAAATTCAAGGTCTGGGAGCATGCCAATCGAAATCTCCAGGCAGCTCGCCGATACGCCGCCACCGCCCCGTGGCCTGCGATCCGAACAGCGAGCACAGAGCTGGCGCAGCCCCAAAACGCTCCGAGGGAAGACCAGAGCACTGGACCCCTGCTCGTCACATCCTCGTCTTCGTTTTCGGCCTCATCGTCATCGTCGTCGTCGTTCTCCTCCTCCTCCTCTTCCTCCTCCTCTTCCTCCGCCTCCTCCTCCTTCGCCTCCTCCTCCTCGATCCTCCCTCCCGCCAGGCGCCTGGGCGCCCTCTGAAGCGCTGGACAGATGACATCAGCACTTTTGCGTGCAGCACGCCAGCAGCCCGCGCAGGGCGCGCTCTGGCTCACTCTGATCTCCCGTCTTCCATTCCCCGTCGCTCCTCTTCGTGCTCGCATTCTTCCGGCTGCGCTGAGGGCAATCGACATTTTCTGCGTCTTGGTGTCTTGGTTGCGCAACACAGCTTGCGCCACCTGGACCACGAGGCCACCTGCCGCTGGTCGCGTCACAGGTGCAGCCAGAATTTACGGAGTATCCTGCCTGTGGGCGCGACCAGCTTACACCTTAGGCGATGCTTAAGAAAACCTAAGTTTTCGTCCAGAGTCTCGATTATTCTTAATTTTTCAATATAAATCCCAAGATTTTGATAGAAGTTCTGGGTTTTATTCCATTTCTGAGACTATGAATTTCTTAACCCATGATTTCTTAAGCATTTCGCAGGGTGTAGCCCAGTCAGATTACTGCACCGAGAGAGCAACTTCGGGCTGCGCTCGAACGTACGCGAGAGTCCTGCACAAGATGTCTTGCGGCAGGCTCGTGCCGCGTCAGCGCGCGGGGCGACGGGGGCGCAGGCGTTCAAGTTCGAAGGCCATCGGTGGCCCGAGCCAGGCCAATTTTGAATTGTCTACGCGGGGTTAGAAAGAAGCCAAAGTCGACGTCGTCACGACAAGAACGAGGCTTGCTCCTCCGCGCATGCCTCCTCCCACCGGCTTGCAGTTCAGATGATCAATGATAATCGAGCTGGATGATGAAACAACGTGGATTGTGAAACCCCATCGATGCAGCCTTGTCAGTAGCAGGCTGAAGTTTCGTCCCTTTCGAGACCCGACTGGGCCAAATTGACTGTTGGGGTGATGGTGCGTGTGTGTGAGTGTGTGTGTATATGTGTGTGTGTGTGTGTCTGTGTAAGGTGGCATGTGAGCATCGCTCCAGCGCAGCTGCCAAGCATGGCATCTGCCAGCAACCAGCATCCGGCCCAAGCTCTTGCTTCCAAGATGGCCAGGGCAAATGTCCCCAGAACTCCCGCCGCGTGACTTTCTCACATCGTGGACCCCCGCACGCCTGGACCCATACCCCGGGGCCGGCTTCTCTTGGCGGCGCGCAGAGGGGGGCTGGGGGAGGGGGAAGGCTTCGTACAAGGAGGCCAATTCTTAGATGGTGCGCGCCTTACATCTATCGACAAGGCCCGCGATTTCTAAGAAGCAGCCTCCTTCTAAGAAGCCTTCCCCTCCACAATTACACAATATGAATACTACTCTCCTCTCGCCCCCGAAGACGGCGGTGAGGTGTTCTGGCCTCCTCCGCGTATATATATATATATATATATAGATCTATATTTTTTCCCACAGGATGCGCCGAGTTGATAATTCAGATATGTGTTTCCAATCCGAATGCTTTCAGTCCTTTCAGAATGGCGTTCCCGCTACAGCGTTGGCTCCATTTTTCATTCCCAGTGATTCCGAATGATGTTCCCGTTGTAGCGCTGACTTCGTTTCACGGTTTCGGCTCTTCACATCGTGCTCCTGCTGCAGCACTGGCTTCGCTTCCGCGCGTCCAGTCCCTCCAAATCGTGCTCCCGCTGCAGCGCTGGTCTCATTTCCGCGGCTTCGGTCCTTCGAAATCGTGCTCCCGCTGCAGCGCAGATTCCATGACCGCTACAGCTCCATTTCCACGCTCTCAGCCCCTCCACGCGCTCTCAGCCCCTCCACGCGCCCCTCCTCCTCCTCAGCTGGCCTTGTCTTCTTTCGCCCACGCGCTCCGGCGTATGGCATGAGTGAGTGAGTCACCACCCACCAAACCACCGCAACCCATCCCGAAGGCCTCAATTTGCCCTCCATTTCCAGTGTGGGGGGGGTCGGGAAACACTGAAAAAACACATGGAGCCCGTACCCCCCCCAACCCGAAATTGGGGTCTTCGGGTTGGGTTGGGGTGGTCTGGTAGGTAGTCAGTGAGTGAGTGAGCCCCTCCAACTTATGTGCCAGCTACAGCTGCAACGCTGACCTCCTTTCACTCTTTCGGCTCTCCAAATCGTGCTCCTGCTGCAGCGTTGGCTTCGGTTCCGCGCTTCCAGTCCCTCCAATTCGCTTCCCGCTGCAGCGCTGGTCTCCTTTCCACGGCTTAGGTTCTTCGAAGTCGTGCTCTCGCTGCAGCGCTGATCTCATTTTGCGTTTCCCGCTTTCCAGACCGTCCATCTGCATTTCCTGTCCTGTGTCATTTCCCGTCCCCCATCTGACCTTATTGTCGAAAGGAGTCACGTTCTCGACGCGACGACGTCGGCCGTGGCCGTGCTCTTCTTTGCCATGCTGTGCCTGCTACACCATGCACAGCCGACTGTGCGCACAGAGAGGGGATGGCAAGGGGCGGCAAGGGACGGTAAGGGACGGGAGGGTCAGGGATCCTTGCCCTGTTCGCCATCCGACTGCCGCGATGGTGGCAGTCGGATGGGAGGAGGAGGAGGAGGAGGAGGAGGAGGAGGAGGAGGATGAGGGGGAGGAGGAGGAGGAAGAGGAGGAGGAGGAGGAGGGGGAGGAGGAGGAGGAGGAGGAGGAGGGGAGTGAGGAGAGAGGAGGAGGAGGAGGAGGAGGAGGAGGAGGAGGAGTGGGCCCTTTGGTGGTCCCCAAACGTGGTGGTGAGAACACCTGGTGGTGAGTTTTGGGCGATTCGGGTAATGGTTTTCGAGCGCTGGCTGGCCCAGGAAGCGCAAAACCTCGTGGCGACCGCGTGTCCCCAAGCCCGGTGGCGACCCAGAATGATTTTTGGGGGAAGTCGGGGTCACCACCGGGTGTCTCACCACCTGGTTTGGAGACCACCAAGCCCTGCCCCGTCACCTCTTGTTGGGGTTAGGACAGACCTCCTGCCCTGACACGTCGATTAAGGAATTGGCCGTTTTCGGCTCGCGAGAGGGCGTCGCGGCCGTCATCTTTGCGGGTCCAGGTCCGTCGGTTTCGGTCCCAGGCCGTTTTCACTAAGGGGAGGTCTACTAAAGGGAGGTTTGTCCACCGCCGATCTTGACAGCACGAGGAGGGGTGGGTCCGGGTCCTTGGCCAGGCGGCCAGCCGGAGGGTCAGCAGGCTGAGGATCCGCTGAGGTGAAGGGTCTCGGAAACAGGAACATATATATATATATATGTATTACCAGTGGCGGGGTGTTTTTGTAATCCAACGACCTTTTGAGGGTCGGGGACGACGTCTGGGTGGTGCGGTGTATACCCCGTCCCCCGTTTTCCAAGGGAGACAGCGAAACATGTATACACCAGGATCCCGTATACACCAGGATCCGCGTTCCTGTGCGAATTTCATAGCAGGGCCGGAAAATGCGTCGGTGGATAGAGTTCGATCTCCCAGGGTCCACGTGCCATCGGCCAGCACCGGCCAGGAGGGGGGCAGCCGACCTCGGAGGGCCTCTTCGGTCGCCTTCCTGGGCCTCGTGCTGCTCCTGCTCTTCCTCCTCCTCCTCCTCCTTTTTCTCCTCCTCCTCCTCTCCTCCTCCTCCTCCCTCCTCCTTCCCGTTTCCTCTCTCCTCCCTCCTCCTTCCTTCCCTCCTCCCTCCCTCCCTCCCTCCCTCCCTCCCCCCCCCTCCCTCCTCCCTTCTCCCTCCTCCCTCCTCCCTCTCTCCTCCCTCCCTCCCTCCTGCTCCTCCCCCTGGCCCACTGGCCAACGACGGCCACGAGGTCTGGAACCCGCGCACGAACCCAGCGGACAGGCAGCACGTGATGCCCGTCATCACGCCGGCGTTCCCCGCCATGAACTCGACCCACAGCGTTACGGAGACCACCAAGCGCATACTGCTTGACGAATTTCGCCGCGGATACGAGGCTCTGCCCCCCTCCTCCTCCTACTGCTCCTCCTCCGCTTCCTCCTTCCATCGGCGGCGGGGCTGCTGCGTTCCCGCTTCCTCCTTCCTCTCGTCCTCTTCTTGATCCTCTCCTTTTCCGTTTCCCCTTCCTCTTCTTCCTCCTTCTTTTGTCTCTCCTCCTTTCCTTCTTCCTCTCCTTCCTCTTCTTCTTCTTCTTCTTCTTCTTCTTCTTCTTCTTTTTCTTCATCTTTCTTCTTCTTCGTCGCCGTCGTCGTTGTCGTCGTCGTCCCCCTCCTCCGCTCCCTCCTCCGCGAGGTAGTCAAGGGCGCGGAGGCTCAGAAATCGTCGTGGATGGAGGTGCACGACCCGTACCCTTTTTTTCAGACGTTCCACCAGTACCTCTGCTTGGAGATCCTGGCCAAGTCAGAGGACCCACACTTCGCTCGCCGCCGCCGCCCTCCGAGCCCTCCGAGCCTTCCTGCGGTTCCAATGCTCGCAGACGTCTTCCTCTGCCGAAGGCCTTTCGCTGCCCCTCGCTCTCTTGGTCCCTCCCACGCGTTCCTGCCCCTCCTCTTTCTCTCTCTCTCTCTCTCTCTTTTCTCCCTGTTCCCCCCCCTCTCTTCCCCCTCTCTTTCTCTAGCGCCCTCTCCCTCCCCGCCCCTCTCTCTGTTCTTTCTCTCTTTCCCCCCCTCCTTCTAGCCCCCACCCCCCCCTCCGCGATAGGCTCGCCCGCTCCCTGCCCCTCCTCAATCCCTCCCCCCCCGCTCCTGCTCCTGCTCCTGCTCCTGCTCCTGCTCCTGCTCCTGCTCCTGTTCCTGCTCCTGCTCCTGCTCCTGCTCCTGCTCCTGCTCCTGCTCCTGCTCCTGCTCCTGCTCTCTCTCTCTCTCTCTCTCTTTCTCTCTTCCGCAGCTAGGGGGCCACATGCGAACCCTGCCCCTACCGCCCACGATTTCTGAGGGGGAGGGTGGGGTTCGCGTCGCTCGGGAGCTCCCGAGCGAAGTGACCCCCCCCCCTTAGAAATCGTGGGCGGCAGGGGTAGGGTTCGCACGTGGCCCCCTACTCGACCCATCCCCCAGGACCGGCTTTTCATCCTGAGTTGTCTCTTGACAGTCTTGGGGCCCGGCGAGGGCCCCGAGGAGGCCGAGAGTCGGACAAAAAACCTCCGTCCTGATTTGCTCTATGCGCTGGATCTCTGGGGGGGGGACTGCGTTCTGTGCGTTGGACCTCTGGATCTGCTCTATGCGTATAGCAGCCCCGCGCGAGGGCTCCGAGCCCCACCGCTCCGCGCACGCCTCCTGCGTGGCCCCCCCGCCCGGGCTCGCAGAGGGAGCCCCATCGGCCCGCCGGCCTGCTCCTGCCCCCGGCCGACCTCGGCCCGGCCCGCTCGCCCCCACGGAGAGCACGCGGCCCGCGTCGGCCCCCGCTGCGCTGCCCGCGTCCTCCTCCCCCTCCCTCCTCCTCCTCCCTCCTCCTCCTCCTCCTCCTCCTCCTCCTCCTCCGCCTCCTCCCTCCTCCTCCTCCTCCCCTCTCCTCCTCCTCCTCCTCCTCCTCCTCCTCCTCCTCCTCCTCCTCCTCCTCCTCCTCCTCCCCTCCTCCTCCTCCTCTCCTCCTCCTCCTCCTCCCCTCCTCCTCCTCCTCCTCCTCCTCCTCCTCCTCCTCCTCCGCCTCCGCCTCCTCCTCCTCCTCCTCCTCCTCCTCCTCCTCCTCCTCCTGCTCCTCCTCGGTGGACAGGCACGCGCTGGGGCTTTCGGGGCTCAGAGAGGCTGGGGTCGGTGCAGACAGGGGGTCAGTCCGAGCGCCGGATCTTGCAGGGTCCTGCGGAGCCAGGGGTAATTTGACCCGGGTTTGGGTGCACGGACCTGCAAGATCCTGCAGGGTACTGGGGCCAGGGCGAGGGTACTTTCGTTCCAGAGCGTGCTGGAACGCTCTCAGAGCGCCCCAGAACGCTCTGAGAAGGCCGTGGCGCCCGAGACGCCCTCCAGAGCGGCCAGATCTCAGAGATTCTTTCTTGATCCTTACCCCAATGTTTCCTCGTCATGTCCTCGTCTCAGGACAGACACGCCTTGGCGCTGACAACCTGAGACCGATCGATCCTGCCGCCGCCGCTCCTCCGCCTCTTCGCTCCTCCCGCTGCAGTCGGACCGAGGTATATGCTCGAGGTCGATTCGGGGAGGGTACCCTACCCATCGGTCGTTGAAAGCAGGTATCTTTGGATTCCGAGATTCCAATCGGCAGTAAGCGCCTTCCTACTTCAATGATCGAGTGGCTTCACCTTTTCCGTCCTCTTTGGGGGGCGGGCGGACACCCAATCTATTTTCAGCGCCTTCCTACTTCATGTTTCTACCTACTTCTTCCGACTGATTGGTAAGATCGAGGTCGGTTTGGGGAGGGCGCCCTCGTGTTCTTCTTGCTCGTGGGATGTTCTCTTGCCTCCTGGGGAGGGTGCCCGTGGATGTTCGGTTTGTTTTGGCCGGCGGAGGGTCTCAGTTTCTTGAGGAATTCGGAGGTTGATAGACCTCCTACCCTGACACGTCAATTCGCGAATTGGCCGTTTTCGGTTTGCGAGAGGGCGCCGCGGCCGTCATTTTTCCGGGTCCAGGTCCGTCGGTTTCGGTCCCATGCCGTTTCCATTGAAGGGTGGCCTGCTAAAGGGAGGCTTGTCCACCGCCGAGGGATGCTCTCAACCTGTAGTCTCCGCACGTTCCGGCCCCTGCCCAGAGAGAGCTCTGCCTTACGTCGGGCCTGTCCCTATACAGGGGGAATATAAAAAATAGCCAATAAATTAGTCTGGGGACGATTCTTTCACAATTTTTCCCCATATCCTAAGGATTGGGGTTCTTGTTATTACTCTGACGCCTCCCACTCCTCCTCCTCCTTCTTCCTCCCGCTCGCGCCTCCCTCCTCCCAATGATAATCACCAGATAAGACAAGACAAGATAAGATACTACAAGATAAGATAAGATAGCACAAGATATGATAAGAAGAGATTTCAAGATAAGATAAGATAAGTTAAGCTCACACTCACACTCTCTCATGATCACAAAACGCTGCCAGGGGCATCATTTGGGAGCCCCAAGGGGGAGCCACCCTGGCTGATCTCACGAGCCCGTTCGCGCCGATTTTGGTGGGACGTCTCAGCTAGAATTGCCGTTTGGCGCTCCCCAACATGTATCTCTTGAGAGCCTCATGGTCACAAAACGCTGCCAGGGGCATCATTTGGGAGCCCCAAGGGGGAGCCACCCTGGCTGATCTCACGAGCCCGTTCGCGCCGATTTTGGTGGGACGTCTCAGCTAG